TGATAAGAGCTGTTCTTGAAAAAGAGCAGTTTCTGTCAAGAGCTCTCTCAGCCCCAACCTACCTCACAGGGGGTCTGTTGTGGGGAGGGGGAGGGAAAGGAGTTTGTAAGCCGCTCTGAGACACCTTTGGGTAGTGAAGGGCAGGGTAGAAATCCAATCTATTCTTCTTCTTCTAAATAAACTTTAAAATAAAAAAATCTTTTTTAAAAAAGTAGTGTCTATTTGGATGGTCAGAAGGTCTCAGGCAGAGAAAGGTCTTCCTCAGCTAAGCTATCTGAGATGTTACCAGAAAATGCTGGGGATCGAATGTGGGATCTCTGTGCTATACCACTGAACTATGGTCCTTCTCTAACTGTAGCCCATTTACTAAGACTGGCATTAGCTGTCCAAGGGCGCAGGCAGAAAGGGGTTTCTCCCAGCTAATCTGAGATGCCCAGGACTGAACTTGTGACACTGTGTGTGCAAAGACCCATAAAGTAATCAAAAGAAAGGGACCCTCTCCCCCTCCAGTTTGGTGTACTGGTTAAGGGCAGTGGACTCTAGTCTGGGAGAAATGGGCTTGATTCCACACTCCTCCACATGCAGCTGCTGGTGTGACCTTGGGTCAGTCACAAGTTCTCTCAGAGCTGTTCACTCACAAGCAGTTCTCGAAAGAGGCCCACCTCCCACACAGGGTGTCTGTTGTGGTGAGGGAAAGGAGATTGTAAGCTACTCTGAGACTCCGAGTGAAGGGCGTTGTATAAATCCAATCTCTTCTCTCCTTCTTCGTATGCACTGCCTCAGGGGGACTGGATGTTCTCAACATACAGAGCTAGGATTGCCTAGTTAGAGGTCCCATTCCTCTGGTGGGGGCAGCGGATCCCCCCACCAGTTTCTGTTGCCTTCCACAGCTCTGAGTGGTGACAAGAGAAAAATACCCTTCTACAGCACAGAGTTTCCACAGCAATTCCTAGAGTGACCTGTGTCACTTTTTTTTATTGGAAGGGGCAGAATCATAGAATCAGAAGGGTGCCGAAGAGAGCGACGAGGACGATCAGGGGTCTGGAGACTGAGCCCGACGAGGAAAGGCTAAGGGCCTTGAGAATGTTTAGTTTGGAGAAGAGGAGATTGAGAGAGGACATGATTGCTCTCTTTAAATATTTGAAAGGCTGTCATTTGGAGGAGGGCATGGAGCTGTTCCAGTTGGCAGCAGAGGACGGCACCCGAAGCAATGGGTTGAAATTACATGCAGAAAGGTATCGGCTGGATATTAGGAAAAACTTTTCCACGGTCAGAGTGGTTCAAAGGTGGAATCAGCTGCCTAGAGAGGTGGTGAGCTCCCCTTCACTGGCAGCTTTCAAGAAGAGGCTGGACGAATATTTGTCAGAGATAAGAGGCTGGACGAATATTTGTCAGAGATGCTTTAGGCTGGTCCTGCATTGGGCAAGGGGTTGGACTGGATGGTCTGTATGGCCCCTTCCAACAATATGAATCTATGCAGGAAATTCAAAAATACCTCCTCCCCCCAGTGACCCCTTCTCCATGCCCAGAAGATGACAAAAATCCTCCAGGATCTCCAGCCAAACTGGCCTGGAAGAAAATGCCTTCCTGACCCCAAAGTGGCGATCGGCATTTCCCTGGGCGTGTCAGAAAGGGCCACGGGAACTAAGCACTGATGCAGCCCTCCCTCTCATGATCTGCTTAAGTTCATAGAATTGGCATTGCTGGGGTGGGTTGCCGCAGCTGGTGTTGTGCCCCCCCCCCCCGATATCCCTGGCTCCAGCCCTCCAACAAGGTGCCAGGCACTGCCTGGCAATCCTGTTGTCAGTTGTCTGCCCTCTAGCCCCATCATCTTTTGCACGTTCTCTCTTGACCGAGCAACCAGGAGAAAAAATGGGGAGAGGAGACGTAGCAAGCTATCAGTGTTCCCTCTAAGCTGAGTGAGTGTGAGCTAGCTCACAGTCTCTTAGCCTCCGGCTCATGCATTTCTGTCTTAGCTCAGGAAGGACGGCTCCAGAGCAAACTCACTTATGCAGTCGCCAAATCGCTCGCTCACAGCTTTAATGCCAGTAGCTCACAAAGTAGAATTTTTGCTCACAAGACTCCACAGCTTAGAGGGAACATTGCAAAGCAATCCACCACTTTTGCCTGCCTGCATAGCTCTGTGTGGGAAAAGGCATAACGTTTATATTCCCAGTTTGGAAAAAAAGGTAAAGGTAAAAGTTCCCTTGCTCGAAAGCCAGTCGAATCCAACTCCAGGGTTGCGGTGCTCATCTCAATTTCAAAGCCGAAGAGCCAGCGCTGTCCGAAGACATTTCCGTGGTCATGTGGCCAGCATGACTAAACACCGAGGCGCAAGGAATGCTGTTACCTTCCCACTGAAGTGGTACCTATTTATCTACTTGCAATTTCTTGCTTTCGAACTGCTAGGTTGGCAGGAGCTGGAACCAGAGACGGGAGCTCACTCCGTCATGCGGCACACTCGGGTCTCGAACTGCTGAACTACAGACCTTCCACAGCCTGCAGTTCAGCATCTTAACCACTTGATCCACCGCAGCTCCTAGTTTGTAGGGATCCTTTAAAGACTGGGGCAATGTACTAGTGCTCTTGTGGACACCACATCCCAATGCTCTGTATCCCTTCTCCCCATCCCAGCTCTGCCTTAAAAGGTCCTGAATGTGTTAGAATTACACCTGTGTCAAAATAATTAAAAGCTGCTTCACTGTATTCAGCTGTCCCAGATATTTTCCTAGCATGCCTGAAATATAACTCTAGCCTGGAGACCAAGCCCTATGAGGAAAGGCTGAGGAATTTGGGAACCTTGAGTCTGGAGAAGAGGAGGGGGGGCAGGATTGGTCTCTTGAAGTATTGGAAGGGCTGTCTCTTAGAGGAGGGCAGGGAGCTGTTCCTGTTGGCAGCAGAAGGGAGGACTCGCAAGAATCGGTTTAAATTGGGGGGGGGAGGAAGGTACCCGCTGGATTTTAGGAAAAAACCTTTTGGCAGTCAGAGTTGTGCAATGGTGGAATCAGCTGCCTGGGGAGGTGGTGAGCTCCCCCTCCCTGGCAGTCTTGAAGCAGCGCCTTGACGGAGCGCTCCTGTCTATGAATGTCAGCTGCTGAATGGCCCTTTTATAGGACCAGCAACAAACATCAATTTAAACTTCAATGTAACCACAAAAAGAAACTTCCCCGTTTAGAAGACTTTCAAGCAAGGAGAAGCAGGTGTACAATTCTAGAAACTCCCGTTGGGGTTGATTGTGTAAAAAGGATGTCAATTGACTGGTAGCTATTAGATTGAGCAAACTGATGATTATTGTTGATATTGCATGTAATGAATATATACCTGATTGAGAATATTATGAATAATACACAATCCAAGACCACCATTCTCACTATCATCCCATGCTGGTTAGGGTTATGAAGGTCCACAACCCATTTTCATCAATCAACATGTTGGAAGAAAGAAGCACTTTAGTAAGATCTCAGGCCTCCTTGAGCTATTTTCACATCCAGTCGCACCTTAGGCATCAACAGCATTTCCGAGGGATAAGCTTTCAGGACTCAAAGCTCTTCCCGAAAGATTGTACCCTGAACAAGGGCTGTGGCTCAGTGGTACAGCATCTGCTCAGAATGCAGAAGGTCCCAGGTTCAATCCCCGGCATCTCCAGCAGAAAGGACTAAGCAGAGGCGATGTAGAATAGAGAAGACTGCCCTTGGTGGACCAAGGGTGGAGAGGAGATGTGGCTCACTGGCAGAGCATCTCCTTGGCATGCAGAAGGTCGCAGGCTCAATCCACGGGATCTCCAGTTAAAAAGATCTGGCAGTAGGTGATGTGAAAGACCTCCGCCTGAGACCCTGGAGAACCACGACCAGTCTGAGTAGACGATACTGGCTTTGATGGACCAAGGGTCTGATTCAGGATAAGGCAGCTTCATGTGAAAGTTTATGCCCTGAAAATGTCGTTGACCCCTGAGGTGCCATTGGACACAAACCTAGCTTTGGAGGGTAGCCATTTCGGTCTACAGTAGAACAGCTACATTTGAGTCGACGAACACATTTGAGGCCAACAATATTTTCAGGGTCTAACCTTTTGAGAGTCAAAACTCTTGGTACCTGATGAAGGAAGCTTGGACTCTGGAAAGCTGATATCCTCAAAATCTAGTTGGGCTCCAAGAAGGAGAAGAAGGAGGAGGAGGAGGAGGAGGAGGAGGAGGAGGAGAAGCAGAAGAAGCAGAAGAAGTAGAAGAAGTAGAAGAAGAAGAGGAGGAGGAGAAGAGTTGGATTTATACATAGAATCATAGAGTCACAGAGTTGGAAGGGGCCATACAGAACATCTAGTCCAACCCGCTGCCCAATGCAGGACCAGCCTAAAGCATCTTTGACAAATATCCATCCAGCCTCTTCTCGAAAGCTGTCAGTGAAGGGGAGCTCACCACCTCTCTAGGCAGCTGATTCCACATTTGAACCACTCTGACCATGAAAAAAGTTTTTTCTAATATCCAGCCGATACCTTTCTGCGGGTAATTTCAACCCATTGCTTCGGGTCCCGTCCTCTGCTGCCAACTGGAACAGCTCCATGCCCTCCTCCAAATGACAGCCTTGCAAATATTTAAAGAGAGCAATCATGTCCCCGCCTTTCACTCGGAGTCTCAGAGCAGTTTCCCCTTCCTTTCCCCACAACGAACCCTGTGGGGTCGGTAGGTAGGGCCGAGAGAGCTCTGAGAGAACTGCTCTTGCTCTGTGACTGACCCAAGGTCACCCAGCTGACTGCATGTGAAGGATCGGGGCATCAAACCTGGTTGTCCAGATTAGAGTCCGCCGCTCTTAACCACTGCACCAAACTGCTCCAAGGTGCTACTGGACTCAAATTTAGCTCTTCTCCTGCCGTCCCACTCAGCTGCCAAACTCAAACTCTCTTCAGGCATCTTTGAATGTCTGGGCATAAAGTCTGAAGTACTGCTTAAAAAAAAAATACCTTCCCTTTTGATGAGTTTCCAAAAATCATTAAAAAAGGGAACTTACCCAAGTGTACAGGTGCCAGCAAAAGGTGTTGAAGCCAAGACTGGCTGTTGGCAGGTGTGGTAGCGTGAGTTCTTTTTTTTATATGGAGGGCGTCGGAAATGAGGCACGCCGCTTGCGAGATGCTCGGGAACCTGCCCTGCCCACGCCTCGGTTAATGGATTGTTTCAGCTAATTAGGAATGCATGACAGAAGTCGATTGCCTGCCTGGCTTCCCGGGTTCAGTGCAAGCGGCAAGTCCCTCGGTCCCCGATGGCGGCAATCCCGCAACAGGTCATTTTCAAGGCATGCGATTGCAAACCCTCCAATGATGTCTTACCTAGGAATAGCTGGTTGATTGATAATGAGAGTCAGGGAGGGGCCGTGGCTCAGTGACAGAGCATCTGCTTGGCACGCAGAAGGTCCCGGGTTCAATCCCCGGCATCTCCACTTCAAAGGACAGGGTAGTAAGTGATGTGAAAGACCTCCTGAAGTTCTTCCTGCTGGCATTGTAAACAGTCTAAGGGCTGGTATGCGCACATGTGGTGGGGATGTGCAGAAGTAAAGACCTTTTGGAGGGAAATTACTGAAATCATTAGGAAAGTATGCAATGTAACATTACCTATAGACTTTAACCTAATGCTGTTAAGAAGAAGAAGAAGAAGAAGAAGAAGAAGAAGAAGAAGAAGAGAAGAGATGGGTTTTCTACCCCGCCCTTCACTACCCAAAGGAGTCTCAGAGCGGCTTACAAACTCCTTTCCCTTCCCCTCCCCACAACAGACACCCTGTGATGTAGGTGGGGCTGAGAGAACTCTTGACAGAAACTGCTCTTTTTCAAGGACAGCTGTGCCAGAGTTATGGCTTGCCCAAGGTCATCCAGCCAGGTGCAAGTGGAGGAGTGGGGAATCAAACCCGGTTCTCCCAGGTTAGAGTCCGCGCACTTAACCACTAGTACCAAACTGTCACAATAGGAAGCCCATTATTGGATAAGCAAACTCAAAATCTAGTCAAGGCTATGATACTGACGGGAAAGGTTGGAAAGACAAAAGTAAATGGACAATAGAAATCTGGCACAACTATTTGTTTGATTTTATACAGTCAGATATTGTGGAATCCATCAACAAGGGAATAACATGGGAAGAGAAATCCACGGAGATCAAGAGCAGATGGAAGACCTACCTAGACTGGATGCTGAAAGAAAGAAGGAAGGACATTCGGTGGAAGATTAAGACTCTGTGCCCTTGGCTGGGGGGAAAGGACTATGACTAAAAGAGAGGGAAGGAGGGAGGGAGGAAAGGGGAGAAAATGTAAATAACTATAAATACTCAATGAAACAGACTAAACGGACCTCCTGGAGATGCGGAAGGGTGGCTTCCAGTCTGAATGGACAATACTGATCTTGATGGACCAACCATCTGATTCATGATTAAGTAGCTTCATGTATCCATGTGCCCGATGGCAGGTGACTCTGCTTCCAAAAGGCCTTGGGAGCTTCACCTGGTTCCACAAGGTGGCCCCTTGTGCATCACTGACCTGTGGTAGTTTAGGTGCTGCACTTTGACTAAGAACATAAGAGAAGCCAATGTTGGATCAGGCCAATGGCCCATCCAGTCCAACACTCTGTGCCACACAGTGGCCAAAACCCAGGGGCCATCAGAAGGTCCCCCAGTGGGGCCAGAACTCCAGAAGCCCTCCCACTCTTACCCCCCAAGCACCAAGAAGGCAGAGCATCCCTGCCCCAGACATAGAATCCAAGACATGGAATCAAAGTCTTATGAGGAAAGGCTGAAAGAGTTGGGGATGTTGAGCCTGGGAAAGAGAAGGCTTAGAGGGGACATGATTGCAGTTTTCAGGTATCTGAAGGGCTGTCATGTAGAAGATGGAGCAGATCTATTCTCTCTTGCTCCGGATTGCAAGACTAGATCTAATGGGTGGAAATGACAAGGGAGTCGTTACCGGCTAAATATCAGGAGAAACTTCCTAACTGTAAGAGTGGTTGAGCAGTGGAACAGTCTGCCTCGGGAGGTGGTGGATGCTCCTTCGCTGGATGTTTTCAAGCGGAGGCTGGACGACCATCTTTCGGGTATGTTGTAGGTATGTAGGTATGTAGGGCTATCTTTTCGCTATTCTCCTGCAGAGTGAAGGGGGTTGGACTGGATGACCTGCAAGGTCCCTTCCAACATTCTATGATTCTATGATAGTTTTCCATCTATACCTTGTGGCTAATAGCCACTGATGAACCTCTGCTCTTAAGAACATAAGAGAAGCCGTGTTGGATCAGGCCAGTGGCCCCCCCAGTGCCCTTTGGAGGTCCACCAGTGAGGCCAGAACTCCAGAAGCCCTCACATTCTTGCCCCCCAAGTACCAAGAATGCAGAGCATCACTGCCCCAGACATAAGAACATAAGAGAAGCCATGTTGGATCAGGCCAATGGCCCCTCCAGTCTAACAGTCTGTGTCACGCACTGGGCAAAACCCAGGGGCCATCAGGAAGCCCCCCCAGGGGGTCCAGAAGCCCCCTCCCACTGTTGTCTCCCAAGCACCATGAAGACTGAGCATCACTCATGGATCTCTGCTCCATATAAGAACATAAGAGAAGCCATGTTGGATCAGGCCAATGGCCCCTCCAGTCTAACAGTCTGTGTCACGCACTGGGCAAAACCCAGGGGCCATCAGGAAGCCCCCCCAGGGGGTCCAGAAGCCCCCTCCCACTGTTGTCTCCCAAGCACCATGAAGACTGAGCATCACTCATGGATCTCTGCTCCATATAAGAACATAAGAGAAGCCATGTTGGATCAGGCCAATGGCCCCTCCAGTCTAACAGTCTGTGTCATGCAGTGGCCAAAACCCAGGGACCATCAGGAGGTCTCCCAGGGGGGGCAGAACTCCAGAAGCCCCCTCCCACTGTTGTCTCCCAAGCACCATGAAGACTGAGCATCACTCATGGACCTCTGCTCCATATAAGAACATAAGAGAAGCCATGTTGGATCAAGCCAATGGCCCCTCCAGTCTAACAGTCTGTGTCACGCAGTGGCCAAAACCCAGGGACCATCAGGAGGTCTCCCAGGGGGGGCAGAACTCCAGAAGCCCCCTCCCACTGTTGTCTCCCAAGCACCATGAAGACTGAGCATCACTCATGGACCTCTGCTCCATATAAGAACATAAGAGAAGCCATGCTGAATCAGGCCAATGGCCCCTCCAGTCCAACACTTTGTGTTACGCAGTGGCCAAAACCCGGGGGCCATCAGGAGGCCCCCAGGGGGTCCAGAACTCCAGACACTATTCCAAACATGGTTCATATCCAACCAGCCATGAAAATCATTGGGTGTCCTTGGGCCATTCATACTGTCAGCCTCACAGAATTTTACACACTGGCCGTTTTATATATTACATGTTGTATGTATTATACTGGCCTTTATTGCATTATTTTATTCTTAATCCCTCATGCGTCTCAATGAGAAACACAGACTATAAATTAAGCAAACCATCAAAGGAGTTGTTGCGATGGTGAAGTATAATGTAGAAGCGGAGAGATGCTGAGCTTTCACGGAGGAAGGGTGGGTTAAAATGTGACTGAAAGTTCAAGTAGGTATTCCAGTCTCTGGATGTGATCTGGACATCTCCTGGATTCACATCTGGTCTCCAAACAATAGGTGTCAGTTCTCCTGGAGGAAATGGCTGCTTTGGAAGATGGACTCTGTGGCATTACCCCATGCTGAGGTCCCTCTCTTCCTTAAACAATGTCATTCCCGGGGGCCACCCCTGAATCTAGAGGAATTTCCCAACCTGGAGTCGTCAATCTTAAGACAACCCCCCAGTCAAAAGTGCTGTTTTTGACCTCTAGGGTCCTAGATGGTTCGGAACCTGGATACTTGGAGGACCCTTAACCCTGATCTGAACCCTAACCATAAGCCTAACCCTGGTTCTGTCAGCTAGCTGCCATTTCTGTGTAGTCTACCCTTCCCTGTTCCCGCCTGGCTTGCAGCTCAGCAGCTTGCCGTAAACATGCCAGGGAGACCGTGGGAACTAGACGCCATTATCAGTCTGGCCTTGTGAAATAGGGAGGGCTTTGGGTCCACATTTGGTGTGAATCTTTCTGCTCTCAGGAAACCCTGCGACTCTCCCGCTCATTATGTCATCTCCCGCCGGGAGTCTTCCTGCCCGCGCGCTCAAAGTTCATTTGCTTAGCTAGTTGCCTTGCCCAGCTATATGTATTGGGATGTGTCAGCAAGCTGCCATAGAAGTCTGTGTATAGTAAACCTCTCCCCCCCCCCCGCAGCCCCCCGTTGGCATCTGCGCATGCCTAGTGTAATAGGCACTACATGTCTGCTTGTCTCATGCATTCTTTCCTGTGAACGCTAGCGTACGCCTATCTGCAAGGTCCACACGTGTGGAGAAGAAGAAGCTTGGCTTAGACTATAATGAGTTAGAGCGTGTGAAGTGCTAATTGTTTATCTTTATAGAAAACGTTGCTTCTTAGGCTTTGGGCGCGAATCTGAGAGTCCACCCGCGTGAGTGGGAACCGAGTCCATTGGTTATTGTCTTTTTGAATGTGTTTCATTATCCCATGCTCAGCCTGACCCAGGTATTCTAAACAGTGAACTTGCTCCTGTTCTATCATGGCTTCAATAAAATACTACTTTGCATAAAACGTGTATTGGACTGATAGCTGTGGGGGATCGGACATGATGGTCCTGCCCTCTAGTTATTCCTAACAATAATCCTGTGGACATGGTACCAGTCTTGTACACTAATAAAGCATAACGCTTCTTAGGAAACGTGTCTGAAGAGTTACTTGCTGTGGAACCTGACAGGTTCCACCTAAGTCAGCCCACACACACAGCACCTGGAGAGTCTTTCCTCTGTACAGCAATACAGCTGGAGGTTCAGCAGGTGGATTCATAGACACACTACCCACAAGGGTCTTCTTGGTAGTGGCTTCAAAACCACGGGACTCCCTCTCCTGTGAAGCCCAGCTCATACCATCCCTTCTTTCAGGAAGGTAGGGGTTTTTTTGTTCGGCTTTTGACATAATTGATGTGGTTGAAGGGTTTTTTTAGGAGCTGCGGTGGCTCAAGTGGTTAAGACGCTGAACTGCAGGCTGTGGAAGGTCAGTAGTTCAGCAGTTTGAGACCCAGGTGCCGCATGATGGAGTGAGCT